CACTTTGGTCCAGACAGAATATCTCACCAACTATTGAATGGACTGGCACAGAATTATTAAGAACATTCATGGTTACCAGAGGATTAATCCGAATGACTTTAGTGATCATCTGACATTTTCTACTAGCGCCACCATGTGGTTCTGAGTGAAATGTCTCTGTGAGTGAACTTTATTTTTATCTCCTGTGGTTCATGTTTGGAGTGGGTTGGCATAGTAGCCTTATACCCCCCCCAATTGCCATTACATTTGTTACACGCATTGTCCCACTCAAGAAAAATTATAATCACTGTGTCAACCCTTAACTTTTCCCTTAACTTGTTTACTTGTCCAAAATGTGCGAAATCCTTTGGCTTATGACAAAAATGTGAAAAACTAATGATAATACAATCAACCCCAGTACTTTGTGTTAAGTACTAAATAGCAAATGTTAGCATGCTAACACGCTAAACTAAGATGTGGAACATGGTAAACATTATATCTAAACATCAATATGTTAACATTGCAATTCTGAGTATGTTTCCGTGCTAGCTTTAGCATTTATAGCTCACCCCAACACTGTGCGAAAGTGCAACCTCACACAGCTGCTAGCGTGGCTGTTCTCTTAGTCTTGTTTACACATGACTTTAAGTAAAGGTTCAATTATCTACCCCAAGAAAGAACCAACACAGCGTCATCCTAAATGAAACATCACATTTTCCCTAGGAACTAAGCTTTCAGGAAACCCATCCCTTTTTCTCCTTTTGATTACACCGGCGAGATCTTCACAGAAGGAGCCAATAACACAGATAATGACTCACACACACTAATGTGACAGGAATTGAATAGAATCAAGGCCATGATGGCCAGAGACGAGACAAAGCTACAATAGAGAGATAATGGAAAAAGCAGGAGAGGGCTGTGTTTATTGTTACCATTAGGGTTGCCTTTTGAAGACTAAATACACAGGTGCAATCCTTCTGCTACCTTTATCTCAACCTTCTGGCAAGCCTCCACCCTAAGCTATAATACCCCCTCCCAACATACACACACACACACACACACACCCACACCTCCTCTTTTCTCCAACCATGATTCTTTGCTCATCTGCAAGTTGCATGACAAGCCATTGTTCTCATTCTCCTTCTCTTGTCTCTCCCTTCCCAGGGGAGCTTTACAGCCGTGACAGTAAAAACAGCTGTAGCACCAAAAACTGGTGCCACTGCCTCAATGTTTTCAAAGCGATGGCCCGTAAATTACGGTTGGTGGAAAGGCCCCTTAACCGCCCGACCCCTAAAAGAGGCTCCACTGAGCAGTAGCTTGTTGAAACAAGACAATTGTTTTTATTTACTCACTTGTTCAGCGTACCAGCTTGAGTAATTGTCAAAAGCAAGTGTGAAACCTTTAGCGCTGTAGTAAATGTTAAGGGCAGTCAGGAGACAACCAGAACAAACATCCTGAGGGCAATGTTTTACAGGCCTAACAGAAGAAACATGGTATGGTACAGTGTATATTAAACCCAGATCCAGTTTGTGCCTCTTATGTTTTACCATAACATGGAAGTCACAGAGCTAAGCATCCACTTTGATATATCTCAAAATTGTATCAAAGATACAATTTTGTAAAAAATATAAAACAATACAATGTAACATCAGTATAGACATAAAAATCTGACGGGTGAAAAAAACATCGTGCAGCACATTGAAGAGCCTTTAAGGATTCTGGAAATTGTTTCAGAACAGCGTTAAATGTTGTTAAATAAACCTCCAGGTTTCCTAGCCATGCATGTATGTGTACACATACCTGGCAATAAAGCTGATTCTGATGGCAGCAAGTATGCCAATGTCTGTCTGTTGGTAGGTCCGTCTTTGGTCTAGATGGACATCATATTTTTTGTCTAGCACACCAGCAGGTCAAAATGTTCACTTATCTTGTGATCTATATCTCAACTGCTTCTGGATTTATTGACACCAGATTTTGTTCAGCCATTCTAGGTTCCCAGAGGATGAATCATTGTGACTTTGGTGATCCCCTGTCTTGTCCTCTAGCGCCACCATGAGGTTGACATTTGCGGATTTGAGAGAAATTTCTCAACAACAGTTGGTTGTATTGCAATGAAAGTTGGAATCCCTCAGAATGAATTATAAAAACTATAGTGATCCCATGACATTTCGAGAGCTGACACAGTGTGTGACACTAAAAACCAGGAAGCTGTGAGGCACAGCAAGAAAAATCAACAATTCAGAGTAGGTTGTTGGCATGGCCAGCTGGTCTATCTCTGCATATCCGGACTCAGTCAGGCCTCACTATCAGCAGGACACTTGACGACCAGTCCCTGTCTGCCTGCTAGCGTATGTTACTACTCAGAAGAGCCAGGAGTGTCTATCTTACAGGGCCTCAGGGAGGTTACCTAACATTATTGTATCTATTTGAAGCATTTATAAGCTTCCATGCTGCCCTAGAATGAGAATCCGGTGTCCTGTAAATATCAAAGCAGCTGTTTATGAGCAGCGACAGAACAATATGCTGACCCATGAGTGACTTTTTACATTATTTTTAATGCAGTGATGACGCACTGCATGTTCGGATTAAATGTCATTTTAATAGCAGCTTGTTTAGAAGCTTCTGCTTTAGTGCCTGTAAAAGCTTGAGATGACAGCAGGGCCAGATGGGGCTGATGGGAAGGAAACACCTTGGTTGGACAGAATAAGTTGGAGCCTCTGGACCAATCAGTGCACACTTTGGTCCCCTGCCATCGCCAGCGGTCGGGGTGTGGTCTCCTCTTCCCGAAAAGTCCTGTCACACACTCTTGGCTGTCGCCACTGCCAGGGTCATCTGTCTTGTTCCAGCTCATGCTTTGGTTTCCTGTCCGTATCACTTGGTCACTTTCCTTTTTTCATTCATTTTCACTTCCACACTTTATTTGTTCTGCCCCTTTGATTCATTCACTATCTTTGTATCTATCTCCTGTTTTTATGCATCCTCATGTCAGTCTCTCATTCTGTCATTAATGTTTTTCACCCTTTTCTGTATCAAATCTCCATCGCTTTCAGTTCTGGGCCTCGATTACCAGCTCCATCTCTCTTTCTGTCCGTCTCTAGATGGTTTTGAGGTTTTGCTGTGAAATGTGTGGGTGGGGAAAAAAAAGTATTTTCTGTGCAGAAAAATGATAACCTATCATTTTTCAGTTTGGTTCTCAGCCTGTCGAGATGGATTTGCTCCCAGCAGTGTCACAGAGTGTCTCTAGAAATGTTTTTTTTATAGTGTTTCGACGTCTCAGTGGGTGCCATTCTGCTGGCACAACCCTGTGACCTGCCCCTTTCACTGTTTCTATCCCACTTAAGTTTTTCTCGTGTTTTTCAGCTCCTCTCCCAATTTATCTGATGCCTCTCACCTTGCCACTTTGGAACAAAAGATGAAGTAGAACATTCTGTGCAAGCTTGTCATTTTCCTCAGCCTCCCTGACTGTCAAAATTGACCCCTGTTGAAGATAGACAGAGCAATTATTAGCTTGTAAGTGGCTCTCATATCCCAAAACCAAGAAAAAAAAACAATACATGCGCAAAAACCAAAGCAAAAGGATTTTGAAGTTACCACTAAGATGTGTTATAACATTTTACTTACCGTGACTGAATAAATAATTTAGATCATTCGTAACAAACGTCGTATCTTCAATTTGAAAAACAAATGGATCTCAGCTTTGGTTTTGTATTATTTCAGTTCTGTATCATTTTTTACCTGCTGCAGTGAAGTATATAATGAGTGAAGGACTGTGTGAATGTTTAAGTCCCACAGTTATTTACAAAAGCTCCTTGTCAAGAAAAAACACATGAACAAATAAAATATTTGCTAAGGATGAGTTCAGACTAACAGGCAGAGATATAGAATTACTACGCAATCATTATTATGGGATTTACGCAGTGCTTCAAGTTACTGTACTCTTTCAGGCGCATCCTGTCTTGCGAATATTGCCTCTCACTTACCTTACAGCAGCAGTGGTGATGGTGGTCATCTCTCATTTTCTGCAAATGAAATGCATCCAAATTTATTAAAACAAAATAAAGCTTGAGGTTGTTGTGATTGGACAGCTCTTCATACATCTGTCTGTATATCAGATTGCCCTTACTTACACTTGCTATCATGTAAATGCTAAGGGTTATGTCTGCGTCTGAAATAAGGGATTAAAAGGAAAGGCACAAAAATGCCTGCACTGTATATGGCCTGTGAAATGTTGGGCCTAATCTGATTTATACTATTTTTTTCTGACAGCCTGCAGAAAACGACTGAACAGATGGATGTCTTCAAAGTTAGATTTGGGGAGAATGATGACAAAGAAAAGTGATTAACTAGTTCACATGTGGCTATGAGTGAGAACATAACTGCCTACCAAGGGAAGCCTTTGGTGTAATTGCCAATGTAGAAGATTTTCTGGTAAATAACAGGTTGCCTTTCATCCAGTCTGCTCTTGCAACAGCTTGCAGACATTCATGGGGGGTGATGTTGCAAGGCATGATGGGGCTGCAGCCAAACTGCACAACAGGCAGAGCTTGCACACGGAGAACTGTCAACTCTTTTGCATTTGTTCTAAAGTTATGGGGAGCTTTTGAAACCCTATAATGATGCCTTTAGCCAGGCTATGCTTTGTTTATGCACAGCAGGGACTCTCAGAAAATGAGCACAGGCAGCCTTTTAAAGGCTCACACAAAAGTATTGTAGTTGCCAACATCAGATTACTTCAGAACTACATCCTTGGTGTATGAGAGCAAACCTCTGCGAGGGAAAAAAGGAAAGTGCAGTATAATGTATATTTCATGTTGTTAACTACAAAATGGGACAAAAGAGATCTGTCTCTCGCACAGAGGGAACTATTGAGAAGTTCATATAAAGCCCTCAGGCCATGTGGGTTATACTGGGTGGAGGAATGTATCATATATGCAAGCACTCATGCACATACTTGCATACCTCCTGGCCCTATCGGAACCCCCAACCCCCTCCCCCCCACACACACACACACGCAGAAAAACTCAAGAAAAAAAGACTCCAGTTTAATTAACTCCAGCAACAGCCCTGGGGCACAAGACTGAAATTGGACAAGGGAATGTACAATTCTTTACAGATAAAATCTAGTCCATCTATACTGACGAGCTACAATCTCTAGCCACACACATAAAGCAAGGTCCATACTGTGCAGTACTATTTTGGAGCTGACACAGATTGTAAGCATCTGATGGAAACCAGTGTAACATTTGGGTTTTATTTGTTGGCATTTCAGTGACCAGTTACAGATGCCAGTGGTTCTCAGGGCAATTAAACTGTGTGTAGTTTACCAACAAAGAAAACTCCATGTGTGTTCTCCATTTAGCTGCTGGTTTAAAGTGTGTCAATCAGTAAAACCCACCTGCTACAAACTGATTCGAACAGAAACCGATGGTGAATATCATTAAGTTACTTTATAAAAGAGGTCTTTAAATGATAGAGGATGAGAATGATAACAAGGTACAAACTGCTCTGTTGTCAAGAATGCGTAACCCAGACAATCATCCATTATGCCATTAATTTCTAATTTCCTGAAGCACATCTGATCAATATCTAATCTGAAAGACATGATACCGAAAAAGACTGCTGGATAACGGGTTCTTATGATTGATGTTCGGATCATGTCTGCTGGAAACAAAAATGAGGGTGTCAGTATAGAGTTCAGGCTCATCCAACACATTTCACTTTATAAGTGACTCCAGTATCACAAGTGCAGACACTTAGTTGTGTGTGAAAGTGGTCCGTGCATCCCTTTCAGTCTCTCAAATGTTTCTACATAGTCCTTCTAATGATCTACATCTTTAAGCCTTTTTTCCTCAAGTCCTCTTTGGCTTCTTTTATCTGCTCCTGTAGCTCTTGCGCTGCCTCGTCACAGTCATTGAAGGTGGCCACTCTGTATCCCACCATCCCCAGGGAATAGCATCCAAATGAAATCAGCAGATACAGAGGCATCGGCCAGGCAACCTCTCTGTAAGTCTGCGGCAGGCTCAATTCCAACAGGTCGAAAGTGACCAAAGCCCAGACTGCGCCCACCACCGACACACCAAATAGCCACTCCAGAAGTTTCGTCATGATGAGAGGTGCCGCGGGGACTTCAGGTGAGCAGCCAGAAAACAACCTGGCGGAGAGACGAACGGTTAAAAAGCCACTTGTCCAATTAGCTTAGCTTTAGCACGCCAAAGTAGCACGGTGTTAGCCACCTAGCTAAAGTTAACTGTTACAACAGACGAAAACAAACTGCCGTTAGACGACATGAATAAAACAGTCGTACAAAAGAAACAAGGCCAATTAAATTATTCATTCGTTTAAATAGAATTTCGTTCAATAAACAGTTTTATAAGAAATAATCCGACGTATTTACCTCCTTTCAAATGCCACCTCAGCCCTGCGCAGATTTATGACGTAGCAAGCCGTGATGCCTTGTGGGAAATGTAGTTAATGTAATGTTACAATAGAAATTCCAACAAATCAACTGAATTATTAGTTGTTGTTTCGTTAATTTTTTGTGAATTTATTGCTATTTGCAGAATTATTTATTCACAAGCAAAACGTTTTTTTAAAACTACATTTTATCATTATGAAGATTTAGTCCTAACTCTCAATTTTTTGAAACATTTATTAGGCCTATATATGTTTTTCATATTAAATATTTTATTATTAATACATCCTTGATGTAAAGGTGTACTGAATTCATATTATATTCTATATTTATTTCCTTGTTGTCGTTCATCCACTAATTTGTAAGAGAGGAGTCAGAAGACAGCGGTCAGAAAGAAGAATTACTACATTTCCCCCGGGTTTTTTTTACACTTCTCAATAAATCTCAATGTTGTTGCTGTCTGTGTTTTTCATTAAAAGACTGTCCTAGACTGTTGTCAGATGTATTAACAATACCAATGCCCTGTCAGTTGAGAGTGAGAAAACAATTTGTTTCAACTGAGTCTTTAATGAGGTCCCCGTCAGGCTTTTAACACACATTAGACCTCCAACTGTTTCTCTGTGTCTTCCTCTTAATTTAGAGAGGCCATTTTGAAAATTAGATTACCATTAGCATGAGCTGAAAGCTATCTTTAAATACTAATGTTATTCCAAAGCGAGGAATCCAACAACATTTTCATCAGGGGCCGCAGGGAGCATACTGGTGTTTGATGTCAGTGTCTCTATAGGTGTTATGGGGCACGTCTGTTAATTCAGGGGGGTGAACTGTCCAGGTGCAGAGGGCACAAACCTCTCCAGGGCAAAATCAGGAGGAGTGAGACTTGTAAACATCATTCAGTTAACTGGGCAGAGGGACACACTAAAGAGCCACTGAGAAATAAACATCATTCTTTGGGGGAAAATGGAGAGTTATTCTTAGGACGGCGGTGTTTATGTTTGTCTGCACTAGTGTTAATAGTGTAAGTGACGATCTGCGTGTCTGCCAGAGTGCTAAAGCCTGTTTCTTCTGTTTATGGAGTCATGGTTTATGTCTGTTTGCTGAAAGTGTAAATCTTTAAATCCTGAAATCAACAATTCTCTTTCCAAGTTTGCTTTATCTTGTGGATGGCTTAGTGGCTTTGTAAAACAACCATGATATACGCTATAGCCTGAATGTCTGTCCATGTTTATTGCGCTTGATTTACCTAACAAGGAGCCGCAGCACAAGGAGCTGAAACTAATTCTTACTTTCGTTGCTGATTAATATGTTGTCCATGTTTTATTAAGACTTTGATAATTTGATAATTTATTCCTTAAAGTCTCATTCACAAAAATCCAAAACTCAAGTATATTCAATTCGCAATGATTTAAAACAGAGAAAAGCACCAGATCCTAACATTTGAAGAGTTGAAACCAGTGAATGTATTGCCTACTTTTGCTTGATAAATTACTGATAGCCCTATAATAATCTAACACAAATAAATGCAAATTTGTCTCTGTGACATATGTGCTAAATTAAAAGACGGAGACTCAAGTAAAAATAAAAATAAAATAAAATAAAATCAGAATCAAATCAAATAATGTTCTTTCTAAATTAGACCCTGTGTGCATCCAAATATAATACAATACAAACATAATTAGATGTGACTTAATAAATGTCAGACTGTGAAGGTCAGGTTACTCCATTGCATTGATAGAATAAACTGAATCCAGTTAGGATTACCCATGACATGCTGCATCATTACATACATCATATCATGTGCTGTGTCTTGCCTGTGTTGCATCGGTATGAGCAGCAGTGTGAGCGTGTGGGACGCTCAGTGGGAACAGTCGAGCTGGCTTTTCTCAGTGTATCTCTCTGCCAGCTCCTGTTCCGTTCCAGTACTCAGGAAACCTGCGCTCCAGCCGAGAAGGCCTGGCAGACACAACACAACAGCCTGCAAACGGGAGGGACATTGAAACAAGAGAGAACGAGAGAGAGACATAGTGATAGATACATGCAGAGTGAGATGACAAAAAGAGGGATGCAGGGAATAGTGTTAGAAGGGGTGAAGCAGTGGCAGCAGTTACTTTTGATAAAGAACCAGAAAATAGGGGGGGGGGTTCATAGCTGACAGGGCGAGAGAGAGAAAGCTGAGAGGGCCAGGAATGAAAAGAAAGTGTATGTGGACGAAAGAGGAGAGGGCAACAGAGCAAAAGAGGAGAGGAGGGAGGGAAGGGAGCAGACAGGGGAGAGAGGTTTAGACAGGGGGGTGAAATCAGGGGATTTGCAGGTGCAGCTTGAACAACCAATGACCTTAATGGTGTATTAAATCCAGCTGTTGCTTATCCAGACTTTCCTTCAATCCCCCTAACACCTTCAGCTGTGCAATAGACTGCATGCACCTTGGTTCCCACAATGAGGAGTGAGTATAGCAGTGTAGGTAGAAACAATGAGGAAAAAAGCATGAAGACAGTGTGAGAGGGATTGGCAGAGACAGAGCGATGGCAAAGGAGATACTTGATCCTCAAGTGCAGAAATAGGAGTGGCTGCGTGACTCCATCCAGAGAGCAAAGATAAGAGGCATAGATAAAACAGCAAAAGTGGTAATGGAGAGTTGTGTTGACTCTATCTCACTGGCTTTGTCAATATTAGTAGAATGAAAGGTCCAGATAAGAATGTGTGCCATTATAGAGCTATATAGGGATCAAGATTTGGCTAGATAATAATTGTGTAATATCTGAAGTGTGTAAAGCAAGAGTTTTGAGAGGCAGAGAAAAACAGACTGAAGGAGAGAGAGAGAGAGAGAGTACTGTCAAAATGCTGTTTAAGATAACAATAGTGCTTGGACTCAAAAACAGGAACCCTCTGTTTCCTGAGCTGGAGACCATAGCTGTGTGTTATGTTGTCATTAGATGTGTGTGTGTGTGTGTGTGTGTGTAGATGTGTTTGGGAAAAGGAAACAGTGACTAAAAGTGTCTCACAATGTCTAGGTTCCAGGGATATTGCTGGTGGAAGAGCAAGAACTGATACTTACCTCAAGCAAGGGGAGGTGAGCCTGGCCAAACCAGTCAAAATTTTACATGCTCAAGTTTTACTATGACATGTTGGTTCTGGAAAGAATCAAATCAATTGATTGAGCCTGCAGCTAAATTCCTGGCCAATCAGCAAACTATGAGAAGTGGTTTAAGCAATGAGGCGACCTCTCAAAACTCGTAGACCTTGTCCAAATCTGTTTATACTAGACATTGTTGATGAAAAAGTATTTTGCAACAGCATAGCATATTTCTTACTTTGACCTTAATCAGAAAAATATTTCAATATGTATTTTGTGTGTATTTTCACATAGCTGAGAATAGGCTTCATATTAGCCTATGCATAATTAGATATGTGTAGCTGCTTTTACCACATAAATGTCTGCTTTCTCAAGTCAGGTCTTCAGGCAGTTAAATCTGAAACAAGTCAGAACTTAAGTGTTGATGTTTGTGACATAAGTCTGACAGTCTCAAGCTTTGGCAAGGGATAGCCCAGAAAGTTGTTCACTCTCCCAATCCAGGGTTAAGATTGTGTCATCTCCTTGAAGGAGAGTAGCTCTCAATACTCCATTGTACTTCCAACTTGAAATGGCACATGCCCCTTGCAAATTCTTTCTGTGCCTGGACAGACCGTATTGAGTGATGCAGAGTGGATGACTTTGCAAGTTTTAGAAGAGGCTCCTCAGACAGGCGAGGTGACCACAAATCAAAGTAGATACATCAGGGTGGAGAGCCCCATGACACAGCTCATCAGGGGTCCCTGAATTCAAAGCAGGGCCACTGAAAGATTTGACGTTGATAAGCAGACTGCTCATAAATATCCTTGAGCCAAGATCATTTAGTGACTAGGATAGTTCGTACTAAATTGCCAGGATAATAGTTGTGAGACCCCAACGCCACTTAGGGCCTTCTTAATGAAGTCTTGGGCTACTTAAGTGGGTGTTAGGTCAGAGTGTGGTCAAGTGTGACCAGTCTGAACCATGTGAGAATAGCACTTGTCTTGCCCTCGGTGCCCCGAGTAAAGACACACCTGTTTCAGCTGCTGCTGTGACGGCTATGGTGAAACAGTGGAGTGGAGCGCATTCCTTTGCACACTCACCCCCTCTTTCTCTCTCTAGACACTCTCAATGCTGTCCTAATGAATCTCATCACATGGCCTCTATTTGTCCCACTAGTGCTTTGTTTGTTGACCTTTATAAGACGTCATTACTTATTATCTTCATGGGTTGTGTAATTCTGCCCCATAACACAACCCCCTCAACCACATCCACGGCCCACAATATGTGTGTGTGTCTGATCAAATGCTTCTTGTCAGTGTAACAGCCATTAACAATGAACAACGGGCGTAAGCTTGATGATGTCTCCCTCCTCCCTCTATCTATCCTCTCATCTCACCCCAGAACACAATGTCCTTTAGCATTACCATTATTGACAGTGGAACTAATTGGCACATAGTTATGAAAGTTCCCCCTGGGCCATTTTAAATTGGACTGCACAATTTCCTTCAACATCTGATAGGCGAGTCCACGCACAGGACCTGAGGAGGTATTGATTATAAATGTATTAATGTGGGTCAGTGCTGTGTTCTCAGCAAGGGGCAGATGATGTAGGGCTACATGTCTAGACTGAAATAAACTGACAACATATTGGGTTTACATGATGGATGATAATAGGAGGAAGAGGGTGATTCTGTCAAGCAGTTTTATCTGCACACTGTATCGTTTTCCTTTGAAAGATCAGTTGCACAGTGTCTTGAGGAGAATTAGCTACTGTGTAGGTGAATTAAATCTGATAGCTAGTCAAATACAGCCGTAAACCACCAGGCAGACAACATATCTCTTGCTAGTACCACATTGATTTCAGGGTAGACATTGCAGACTTTATGGACTCGTTTCACTGATATAATGAAGGGCCTCTGGAGAAACTGGGGCATGTATTAGATAGCCAAACATGCCAAACTGAACACAAAGTTACACACA